AAAACCCCTCCCCCTCCCCCTAAAAAAGGGCTCTTCATGGCCCAAAGCACAACATTTCACAAACATTACAACTGCACAATTAATTTTTTTCAGGGCATTTGAGAAATGCATGCCTGACCACCGTTTGCAACAGATCCACTATCATCTGGTGGACAAAATTCTTATCACTAAAACTATTTCCATATTCATTTTGTTTCATTTTTCACCATTCATCTCTCTGTTTCATTGTGTTGTTATGCTTCATGAGGGGTGACATTTCAGTTGTTTTAAAGAATGCAAATGTAGAATACAATGCCTGGAGGTACTCACTCATATAGTTGTATTTTGCCATCAAGTATTGGTCCTCCATATTTTCAGTTCAAGTGTACCATTTCTCTAGTACGGACTTTCAGTAGCAGCTTCTGAGTCTGAACGGGAAAACCACTGACAGGTGCTTCTTGTTCACCCATTTTTTTCTGCAAGGTACTTCTGGAAATTTCTGTCATTCAATTCAACAGCTGAATAAGAACGTGAAAGATAATTTTAATATATGTGAAATATTTTGTTGATGCAAGGGTCAGCGTTTATAAATCACATGTTAAACATTTTTTTTGGGGGGGGGGGGGGGTGAGGGTTGATATATAATCTCTACACTGTGCCTAACATTGTTCCAGTTTTTGGGCTTAATAAAGTGAAAACGATTCAACAAACATGGAATTTGTTCACTGTGAATAATCGTTTCATCGTTTCATTACAACAGCTGTCCCGCCAAGGGCATACGGAAGCTCATTGGTTTGAATAAATGGGTAAATCTAAGTGTGCTTTCATTAGGCAAACGATCGGCCCTCTTTAAAGTAATTTTACACTAGATGGTCTGGAGATAAGAATCACAACAGAAGTAGCATACAAGGGAGACAAGACGACTGCAAACTAGCAAAATATTGATTAACAAAACCTCCCTGATACAAAACATTTTTTTTTTCGGTAGAATCAAACTGTAGGTAAGACACGTACTCCTTAAACTTCAGTTTCCGCCGGTAGTAGTTCTCGCGTACTTATATACACATTTAACTACCAGGCCCGGTTGTTCAAACGTTGGATAGCACTACCCGGCCACTTACTTGCATCTCGTTGAATAACACAAGAAACTATTGTGTTTATGCCTCGTTCTTTAAAGCGTTCGGACAAGGGGCCGGGTATTCTGCAGTTACTACCAAGCGGATAAGTATTGAGGAAACTAATTGCGTTACAGAACTGAAACTCTCTACCCTGCGTAGCGTTGCCTTGGATGTTTAATGTTAAAACAAAAGCATACTTACCGTGAAAAAAAACATTCAGCCCATTTCTTTGTAAACTTCTTGGCCATGGTACAGGCAGGCTTCGGATTGCTGTTGGCGTAACATTTCCGCTAGAGACAGCTCGACGAAGACACGTATCATCCCTGGGCGACTAGACGAGCGCCATCTTGCTTTCATTCGCGCCACTTCCGGTTTTACCCTCCCTTCCGGTCACAGATATTTTTGGTCGGTTGGCAATTTTTGTTTTCTCAAATACGAAAATCAAAAAGCGATTGTTCATTTCGGATTTCATCAGCATTGATACTGTTTCCCGCAGTTTCGTTACACATGAATAGCTTCGTCAAGTTTGAATTTTTGATAAGCTGGAATCTAGGGAAGAGGAAATTGAAAATACATATTCACCTTCGGTACCAGGCAAAAATCTCAAAATTAAAGATTATCGTTTAGTTTTCCTTTTCCCTAGGAACAAGAAATGAAAGCCGGCAACTGGCCATTTTCAATTTTTGATTTTCAAAACATTGAAAATTGCTTTTCAATTTTACCTTTCGTAGAAAGAAAAATTGACAATTAAGATTGTAAATGTGTGATTTTCAATTCTTCAGGAATCAAACAATACAAATCTCGATTGTGAGATTTTGATTTTCAATCTTCAATTTGGAATAAAAATCAAATGGACGAAAACCACACGGACCAAGTCAGCCTCACAATAGGTTTAAAAACGTGAAAAAAAAAGAAAAGAAAAATCCATTATCCCAAAGTTCTCTCTATGGTCCTGGGAACAAGGTTGCAAGGCTATGAAGTCACGTCAGGTGCCTCATTCCCGCCTTTGGACAGATGGATTTCCGAGTTCCGAGCTCCGAGTTCCGATTTCCGAGTTCCGATTTCTGTTTTCGGCAATCAGAAAATACCTGCCATCAATTTCCGGGTTCTGATTCATGAAATTCAGAAAATGGATTGGCCGCAAAGCTTCCTGATTAAGCTGAACTGAGATTGAGACCAATGGTTTTAGCAAACCGTAGTGATTTTTCCTCAGCTGTTTTTAATTCTCGCAATTTTCGGCGTTGCTTTCTTTCTTTCACCTCAGAAATTTTTTTTCCAGTAGCTGCAAATTGTTTTTGTTCCTCAGTTTTGTCCAGGTATTGATGAAGATGAGCATTTTCCTTTTTCAGCCTTTCTTGATCAACAAATGTCATTTTTAGTTCTTCCTCAGCCTTCTTTCCTACTGCTTCAACTTCCAACAGTTCCTTATACAGCTGGTCACACCTTTCGTGAAGCCTGACATTTTCTTTTTCTAGATTCTCCTTTTCAGTCTTTAACTGGTCTAATTTATTCTTAACCTCCCTTATGTCCATCGTTCACTTTTCAGAAATTCCATGTGACGAACCTTGCTGGCAATGTTTTGGCGAGTGCCCCCATTCTTTTCCCTTAATTGGCATTGACTCTCCGAACAAAGTCGTCTCAGTCGACCTTCAATCCAGGGCCCTCATTAAAAGCAGCATTTTATGCTGAAGAGATAACCCTCGGTAAATAACATTTGTTATTATTATTATTATTATTATAATCCTGGCACAGTCTGGTTTTACTTTTAAACCATATTTTTCATCTAAAAACGCGTTTAGAATGTCAGACATAGCCGATTGCCAGTGCTTTATTCCTCTTGAGGTCGTACCAGCTTTTTAAACAATCGCATGTGAAAGCGTCTTTAAAGGCCACCTCCTCGGCACTAACACATTGATTTTTTACATATTTTAGGCTTTCAGTGATCGAAACAGTCACAGATTCCTTAAGCCGGGATAAGCTGATTTTGCGAGAAAATCAGACATCTCAGAGGTCTCAGAAATACTATAGCTCATGTACCCTGCGAGCAGTGGTTTCTCCAGGCCAGACACTACGGGAGAGACCACTGCGAGCAACCGTTTGATTTTCCATCAAGCATGCGCCTGCATGTGATGCCTTCGTCAAACGTCAAATGACATCACTTCCTCTTGATTCGCGGGAAAATTATGACTTGTGCGCCCAGCCTGGGTTCGGGTTGAAGTTGACTGAAAATCATGATCATGAGTTGTACAACGCCGCTGCTCAACCCTAATATTTCCCCTAAAACACCTGTAACAAAAGGATCTTCACCTAGTTCCTCGAAGAATTGCCTAGTTTGCAGAATTATTCTAAGGATTGAGAGCTTTTACACCTTGTCGCGTCCTGTACTGTTGAGCGCCTTGAATGCAATACTCCAGACAACAGTACAATTTCCATTGGTAAAAGATGATCAAAGGCGGGTTTGTAAAAGCTGTTTCAGGCGATTGGAGCTCATCAAGAATAAAAAAAAAGCGTATTGGAAGCACTACAGAAAGAATTTCAAGCGAAGTACAACAGCACAGTATTAAAGAATTGTGAAACCACAGCCAACATCCAATGAAGAAAAAACTGTACAAGAACCGTTTTATTCACCAGCAACTGTTGCAAAACGCAAGAGGACATGGACTGCTTTCCTCTTGAATACGAGGAAGAGAAAGAAAACTCATTTCCGAGGTACACTGGTTCAGCGCTGAGTGAAAACACTTGTGAAAACAAACCAGACATAAGCAAGGACGAAATCAAGGTGAGATGATTTATATAAAAACGTTGTGCATAATTTCTTATATTTTACTGAATAATTACTTTTTAGGTCAGTATCCAGTATGCCTCAGGACCAAAGCAAACGGTTTTGAGTGGTATATTTGCAGAGGCTGTAAAATGTCTTGCACTCGACTGGCCAAAAGCTGCATGCAAAGTTTTGTGGAATTCAAAAGCAAGGACTGAGATAAAGGACATTTTAATGTCGAATATGTACCTGGAAATGCAGAAATTTTCCTTTGAATGATACATTGCGTACATATCACTGAAAGAATTACCATCCCGTTCTTGTTTGAAAAATGAATATAATAATATTGTCCGCAACTTGACAGTGATCGGCAGTAAATTATTGTTCTTGAAAGTGAAGATTTGTTTTCTTTTAATTCTGTGAGAACCCACATTAATTCATCTTCAACTTCCCCTGGACATTTTTTTACAACAAATTTGCAATTTGGCTTGTCTTGCGAAATTTTGATCAGTTTTGTGTCCCTCATGTGTAATGCCTTCATAATCTGGGTTCTGGTCTCCTTCCCAGCAGTTGCAGGTTATAGGCAAAGAAGAGGGCAATTCACAAAACTGTGCAACTGCCCTATTTTACCATATGCTGCCCTGAAAGGCACACTTTGCATTCCCCTGAAATTTGGTTCATTGTTATAAGTACTTGTACAATAATGAGTGCGGCTTATTAGCTGGCTTGGCCATAATACTATATTTCTTAGTACTCACTATATGTCTGACCTTTCTTTTGCCACTTTCGTATTGCCAAAACACATGTTTACCTCCCAAATTTTCCTTAACATTGTTGTCACTTTGTCTGGGAATGACTTACCGTATTTATTCGATTAAGCGCCCAACCTCGAATAAGCGCCCACCTCGAATAAGCGCCCACCCTGAAGGTAGAAAAATTTAATAAGCGCCCAGCCTCGAATAAGCGCCCACCCCCACCCACCACCCCACCCGAAAAAGTACTTTTAAGTGCCCAACCTCGAATAAGCGCCCACCCACCCCCAAAAAAATAATACCATAATAAAGTGCACAAGAGGTACCGGTATTGATTACTACGGTATTTCTTTAATGGCTTACAATCTCTAGTTTCATTGTCTGAAAATTTTAAGACAACGTAGGAATTTTTCTCAAAGTTTCAACTGAAATGTCCATGTGGGCGCAAAGTTCTTTCAGCCGCAAAATCTCCCGCTCAAACTTCGTGGCAATAGCCCTTCTTGGTGTCCGCGCTTTGAATGTTCCTGGCACAACAAGTCCGTTCTCAAGCCTTCTTGACCCTGTTACTTTAACAGAAACCTCATTATCGTCGCAAGCTCTCAGAAATGTATAGATAAGGTAAGACAGTTCCATTGGCACATGTCCTACAAGCTCCCTGTCGGTATTATCTTCCAAATACGTCCCAATTGCATATTCATCATGTTGTCTGGCTTCCTTGCGATCATCCTCACGGCAGGTAAGTTTCTCTCCCAAAGTTGGAGTCCACACAGATTTATAAATATGATGACCTCGTATAACTGATGTGAATTGCACTTCATACACAAAGTTCCATTTCACATAATGAAAACTTGAGCGAGCCATGGCTTTGAATTCACATTTAATGCTCTGGCACTAAAAACGAGCTGTTCAGTTTGCTAGGCTGCAGCGGAAGCCACACGTGTTTCCTGTTACGTACCGGGAGCTCTTTGACTATTGTTCTTGCACGGTAATTACGTACCTTATTGTAAACTTGTGGGATCTAGCACCTTCATGCATTTATGTGATGTGTAAACTGACAGATCAGATATTTGATTCCAGTGATATTTAAAAACATATAAATCACACAAGTCACGTTTTCATCTTCTCTTTGTTCTGAGAGCATGGAGACTGATGCATCTCAGTCTCATGCCGGCAAAAAAATAAGTTCGTCCTCCACCGAATATAAAGTAGAAGCTATCAAGTTTGCCGAAGAAAATAAAAGCATCTCTAGCGCTGCAAAAAAGTTCAATGTAGACCGTAAGAGAATTCGTGAATGGCAAAGTGCCAAGGCAAAACTTCAGGCTGCGGATAACAAGAGGAAACGTCTTGAAGGGGGAGGTAGAAAACCATTTGATGTTGGCCTGGAAGACGAGCTTTTAGAGTGGGTACATGAACACAGATCCAGTGGTCTTCGAGTTTCAAGGGCAATGATTTCGCACAAAGCGCGAGCTATTCATGAGCAAAAATGTAAGGCAGGGCAGGTTTCTCCATCTTTTATTGCAAGTAATGGCTGGGTCCAGAAGTTTATGGCCAGGAAGGGGCTGTCTGTGAGGCGAAGAACCACTGAATCGCAGAAAGATCCGGACAGACTTATCGACAAGCTTATTGCCTATATCTTACAAGTACGACGACAGCGAAACAGGCATTCCTACAGTCATAGTGACATTATTGCCATGGACGAAACAGCTGTCTGGCAAGATATGCTGTCCAGCACTACTGTTGACAACGTGGGAGAAAAATCAATTAGACTGAAGACAACAGGACATGAGAAGTCCAAAGTGTCTGTCTGTTTGACAGCAAAGGCAGACGGAACAAAACTAAAGCCGTTTATTGTCTTTCCGGGAGCCAAGAGAGAAACAAAGCAGCTTAATGAGGAGTATAAAAATAAGTGCTATGTAGCCTCATCTGTGAACGGATGGATGAATGAAGACCTGACTCGTGAATGGGTGCAAAGAGTATTGGGCAAGTTCTCATTTGCTCGTCGGATGTTGGCTTGGGACTCTTTTAAATGCCACATCACAGACAGCATCAAGCAAGAACTCACACATGCAAAGATCGACCCTGTCATAGTACCCGGTGGTTGTACTAAGTATATCCAAGCCCCTGACGTGGCATGGAACAAGCCCTTCAAGGCCAAAGTAACTGAGAAGTACGATGCGTGGATGGCTGACGGAGCTCATTCATTTACAGCTGCAGGAAACATGCGTGGCCCACCTCGTCGTGAAATCGTCAAGTGGGTTCTTGAGGCCTGGGAAACTCTAGACAGAGAGTTAATTATCCGTTCTTTCAGAAGCTGTGCGCTTACTGTGGCTCCTGACGGATCTGAAGATGATCAGATTCATTGCCTAAAGGAGGGTCAACCTTGTCATGCAGGACAAGATCGCCTGGCATCCATCCAGCAAGCCCTAACAGCTTCTCGCGACTGACCCATTTGCTGACGTTACGCTGTCGGATGTCGAGGAGGCAGCACCAGAACGTTCACTTATTGAGCTGAGCGACGATGACATTGAAGTTGATTGAGAATTATGATAGCTAAAGAGACTTCAGCGCAGACCGAACAATGAGTTGTTAGTTCTGGGCATAAACCGAACGATGAACAGTTACAATTTATATGCTTTAACATTTTGTCATGTTTTGTTCTTATTTATTGTTTTGTTACAAAATAAACTTTTAACTTACTGAAAATGGTGAAAATTTAATAAGCGCCCAGCCTCGAATAAGCGCCCACCTCGAATAAGCGCCCACCCTGAAAGTCCAAAAATTAAATAAGCGCCCTGGGCGCTTAATCGAATAAATACGGTAAGCCCCATTCACACCAAGGCTTAAACTTGTAAAAAGTGGTTTACTTAAACAAAAAGCCTTTCTAGCCTTA